AATGGCTCGTAATCCTCCACGGGGATGATCAGGATACCTTTCATCGATCGCGCCGGCACGTTTAGGTTGATGTTCCACAGCGTGTCGCTCTTATCCTGTATTATCGCTCTATGCCGCAGTATGCGGTCGTACAGGATGGCCACCTTCCCCAAGTACTGGTTTCGAACCTGCCTGGGCAGCTCCCGGGCTAGTGATCATGTCAAACTCCAGAGAGATGTTGTCGATGGCGTAACTCGCCTCATCACCGTTCAGCGTACGCACGACTTAGCTGTAGTCGTTAAACGTGAGCTCGTATTCAAGCCTATCACCCAGCGCGGCCTGGTAAAACAGCGCGTGTCCCGTGAACAACTCGAAGTCGAGCGGCACACAGAACCGGCTCCCGTACGGTTGGGTGATGGCCTTTTCACCCGCTGAGATCTTGTCTAGCTGGTCTTGCGTGAAGCCGTACCCCACGCGCAACCTAGTCGATTTGCTGATACCTTGGTACACGTCATTGACGCATTCTCCCTCGCTTTTCCAGAGGTCCCCGTAGCAGTGAAACACGTCGCTGTCGTCGATGCTCAGCACCTCGTTGCCCGCTCATCTTGATGGTGGTTTTCTTGATGATGGCTCGACCTACGTTCCGCACGAGCCTAAGATTTCCCTGAAGGTCGTCCAAGATCTGCAAGCAGCCAGGGCCAAACTCAGCGGTGAAGGTGATATACCCCAACGTGCTAAAGAAACATCAGACAGTCTCGAAAAAATATTGGCCACGTACAATGACAAACCCTTGCCGGGTTTCGAATTTCCTGTTCGGGAACTGCGAGGGCTAGACAGGGCATTGCGAACCATTTGTGGAGAACTTGTGAACAATATGGGGAAACTGAACGAAATTGAAGAGCACATCGCTCGCGAGAAAATAAAACTCAGTCAGCTTGACGAGTCTCTGAAACCCATCATCAATAAACGGTTGTGTGACTTACAAGACGAGAGGCGGACTCGATTGGAATCCGCTTCCTCGAACCGGGACCAGCTTCGATCTCAGATCAACCGTGTGCGGGAAACCATCGATCTAGTCCTGAATGAGGACACAACGTTGGCTGACAGGATCCGAATCCTCTTCCGAGAGCAAGGGATCACCATTTCCAGCATTCTGACTGCATTGGCCTTCATCATATCAACCCTGGTCGTATCGCTGAGTGGGGGTCCACCAAGTGGTGGTACACCCAACCCACCAAGTGGTGGTGATGTCAGAGACTAGATAAAAAAATATCTGAAATCACTCGGAAAAGCCCTGGCTAAACTCGCGGATAAGGCCGCCGAAGCCCTGCCCGGCATCCTGGATAGCATCGTCTCGTGGCTGCTGAGCACGCTGTTGAAAACATTCACGTGGCTCGGTCAAAACCTGTGGGCAGCCATATCGTCGCCGTGGCTGGGCTGGTGTACGTAGCGGCTAAGGAATTTTTAACCAAATGAGACCAACGGTAATATCGGTTTTAGATATAAAGCATAATCTTGTGAATATAGGGATACCTCAGCATAACGCTGCACATAAAATGACTAGCGCACAAGGTCCCAAAATGAAGTTGAAAAAATGCGTCAATGTGGGGATCTCCGGCCTCTGGGACACACGCGGATTCAACGACCCCGGAGTAGATGTTAAACTATACGCCTTGCAGCTTAAAAACAGTATTTACAAACGCGTTGAAGTCCCCTCCATCGGTAGAACACTAGGTGATATAGTAGATACCTCAGGAGCGGCTCTCAACACTCGGTTCGACCTAGTCCGCATCAGTGATAGCAGTATACCCTCGTCTTCACCGACGCCGACAAGTGGGTGTTGTTACCCACTCAAGTCGACTGGTTTCTTAATATTAGTCTCGGCTCCCCCTACGTGTTCACGGAAAACAAAGAGGCGCAGAGGCGTAGCGTAATCATCAGCACTCTCTCCAGTATGGCAGCCCACATGCTATCGAGTAAACCGGGAGTGCAAGACGTGGCATTGCAGTTGGTGTCTGAATTCGCCGGTGAGGTCAAAATCCTGGAAGGTCTACCAGCAAATTCCACGCTGGCCATCCAAGTCTACCTAGGGGAACCATCGCAGGACGAAGTCGAAGTCGTGAAGAGAATCAAACTCCGGTTGGGGAAACGACACCAGTATCACGTTTGCACTGTTTACGTGCGGGTGGGTGTCGACTCCCACACCAGTCTGCAGGGGGCCACCGTTACTGTGGAAGACACGATATCCCTCACCAAGATCTTCCTACCCGACAACATACACCTCATGGGGGTGAGGTGCACCCCTGAACTACTATCAGAAAGACAATTGGAAACTATCTTGTAATAGTATTATAGCAATGACCAGTCATCGACCCAACGCCACGCTTAACGACCTAGGAGACACGGAGACAACGTGTATAGATGGGTGTCCCTGGCAGACTTTAAAGAACCCGAATGGTTGATCAACAAGACCCTCACCGCACCTTATATCGCTTTTGATAAGGATGGTCATATCACCGAAATTAAGAATAACGGTATCCAGTTACACAATTATCATTCAACTTATACGCTGGCCTACCATATTCTATGAGTATGGCCCCAGGCTCCACACTCATCATAGAAGTCTTTATCAAAGACAACACTGACGGGGAATTGAAGGTTGCACACCATCGCTTTTTACCTGGGGTGAGAATAGATTTGTCAGATTCATATCCATTTTTGTCCTCCCCTTGTCGTATCGTCATACAACTGAGCTCGGACCCCTCACTGGGGGCGCTGCCCCCCTTAATAACCCCCCCGATGGTTAGTATAAAACAAGCGTTACCTACTGACTTTTCCCCTATTCACCTACTCTCTGGGGTAGGCCTTATAAGCCTCAAGTACATTGATCGACTATTAAATGAAGCCCAATTAAAAAATATCTTGTAGTATATATTATACGCACAGGATGGGGCTGTACCAAGTCGTAGAGGAAGTAGCGAAGACACTGGAAACCGTAGACGGGTTTCGGTTGAAACAGTTATGTGACGTAAAACGCCAACTAGAACAAGACCGCGACACACGGGCAGCATTGTACAAGAAGTACCATAGAGCTTTCAATGCCGTGGATGGGGTTGATACCACCCTTATGGCTACCAGTATGGGGTTAGGAGCAGTAGGTGTGGGGTTGTTGACCACCATCGTAGCCGCACCCGTAGTGCTAGGCATCGAAATAACAGCTGGGGTGTCAGGGTTGGTTGGATTGTTGTTTAAGTTTGCGTCAAGCAGACTGCATCTTAAGGCATTGAAACACGATGAGATCAGGATCCTAGCCGATGCAAAGTTAAACACCATAGACGACCATATTTCCACCGCACTCACTGACAATAAAATCTCAGAGGAAGAGTTTCGTTTGGTCCTCTCTGAACTCGCAAAATATCACGAAATGAAATGAGAGATTCGAAACAAGTCTCGTAAAAGCACTGTTATCAGCGAAGACGAGAAAAAAAAGTACATAGAACAGGGAATACAACAAGCCCAGCAAGCCTTCATTATGAAAACCAAAGAAATGATAGGAGATTCATGTTAAACTGTTTTGCTGAATCACGGCACAATGTTACCCCTCAAGCAAAATATTTAACATGTCGAGTGATCCCAATAGTATCCTGTAACCAACTGTTTCCTGTCAACAAGACATAGAGCTATCGTGTCACGTGATCAGGAAAGTGTTGGTTCGCGGTCATAGTGACCAGGAAGTTAACTGGGGGTTCAAACCTGGTATATACAATTGCAGAGAGAGATAAGGGCCTGACAAAAGCTTTATTTCATAAATGAAGCTTTACAGAGGCTTTTGTTGGACTTGATCTCGTACCCCCAGTGTATATACTACTTCCCCAGTACTTTCATCGACGTGATCAATGCACAAGATGGCCACTCGTTACTTGTACTTTGCTGGTGTACCTCCTCGTTAGCACACCTTGAAACATGCGTCTTTCAATGTAATAACATTTCATTTCAGTAAATGCTGGATGTCCTGTAATAACCACTGCACATGTAAGTAGAGCCAAATAGTGTGTTGTAAATGCGATATTTTTAGTCAAAACCATTGTCAAGAAATCGGATTTCTGGATAAACGTTTCTTTCAATTTTGGAAAAGGAAAATCAGTACAACCGCCTGGTGCGGTCACCATAACTCTACCAGGCTATACCGAAGAAGTGAAAAGCAAGCAAGTCGAGGCATGTAGAGTCTGTGTCAGTGATGGTTTCAGTTGAAGAATGGATATCCGCGATCAACAGCAGTTTCACTTGAGATCAAAGGATATTCTTCAGATGTGGATCACGGTGTCAGAAGTCAGGTCCTCTCAAATGCGGTGTCTGCGGGATTTGTATTGGTAGTGTTCAGATAGCCCGCCCTTCTGGTGCATTTGTATTCATTCACAGCACCAGAACTATTATAAAATATGCCTTATGATGATATTGACGGCACAGTCGCGGCAAGGTACATTTAGATAGCGTTCGAACTATTCTTTACTTCGTGATGACTTTGTTGTTTTAAATCTGTGATGTTGAAAGTTCCAAGTGATCGGGTGCATATCGAACTCGACAAAGTGACTTCGATCTATCTGAAGGCATGGCAAATAGATACATTTAGATTGTTTAATGGCTACATTTAATCTCAGTTGATCACTTTGATTATCCAAATGTTTGAACTACTCTTGTGGCTTAATGAAACATCAAAACCGACGAAATCAACCAAATCTTTTCACAAATGAACACATGGTTCAACATGCACTTTCATATGTGACTTCATATTAAATCAAAATGATGAGCCTGAATATACATTGAAAGAATATATGTTTTGTGGGGACAGAATATCTTCTTTTCAAGCAGTCTGATGATAAATTAATTCCATCCCCAATTACCCGAATATCAGAAGGTCAGTATTTTGCCCGCATTCTCTGGTTCTTGCCCTAATGTAGTTCAGTGATGAGGTCTTACCACATACAGCATATCTGTAAACTTTGTTTATCCATCATACTTACAGCTGTAGTTATCTTCTCTAGGCTGGCTTTATCACGTGCTACTCCTGAGCCCAACCCACCAAGGGCATAAGCTGCCCTCACCATCACCGGGTAGCCGATCTCCTCAGCTGCTTCTAATGCTGCCTTCACACTATTAACGGCGCGACTTGGCGCCAGCTTTTCATTGATCTTTTTCAGGTGAGAAGCAAATATCTCACGGTCTTCAGTCGCTTCAACACTCTCTATCTGCGTACCGAGAACTTGAACACCATATTCATCCAGAATTCCTTGACGATGTAGTTCAACTCCTGATTAAAGAAATAGTAATCACTAAAGTAGCCTGCCAATAATCCTAGTGTGTCATTTCTAACCATCGCTCTCATAATGCTGGTGCCACACTGTACCCAAACTTATCATATAATACAAAGCACACACATAGGTTTGCCGTTCAACTGAGACCCTGTGCCATGTTCTTACTAAGAATAGAGAAAAGCGTACCGCAGTTGAGGGCAGTCTGGCCCCCCATGGACAGCAGTATGCCATCCGGCCTCTCTCTCCTGATCACCTCGCTTACAAAGTCGAAAGTAATGGGCAAAAAGTACACATAGTCCGCTTGCTTCTCTCCTTCAGCGTTCGTCTGGACAGAGGCTATGTTGGGGTTCATCAAGATGGTGTTCACGTTCTCCTCCTGTAAGTGGATATCATGTTTGTCTTTTCGACAAAAGTTATCACAACTCGAATATTCAATGCATTTTGTCAAACCGTTGCGTCGTAAATGTGTGCATGTTATTTTGGGAGTGTCTTGTCTGTGAAACAACAGTTGAGATGATCATTATCAAACTACCAAGGATGACACACTGTCATGTACGTTTACTTAGACACTGAGCAGGAATATATCACACGATCGTGTTGCTGTTTTCATAACTTTTTTCTGAATAATTGTAGATACGTTTTCACATTTTCAATGAAAGCCAAAATTTGTATTCGAAGCACGACAATGCGCTAAATTGTTAAAATGCAGTGGCACTTTGTCAGTGTAAAGTAGGTTTTGTATAACTGACAATAAGTCGGTGACATAATGCGACAATGTCCCTGTTGGTATTCCATACAGTTATACTGTATTCTACAGAAACAGCACGTATATTGGTACTATAAGCAACTAATGCATGCACGTAGGCAATGCATAGGGTGTTACACAGATATATAGCAGGTATAGATACTTTGTGCCATGCACTTTAGTTTGTTTAGAATACATCTACACAACACACTCTCTGGTATGTAACGGCAATCATACCATGACCTCATGTACACAAACATACATGCTCACCTTCAAAGCTTTGATTGCTTGTGTACCGCTGTAGTCGAATTCCCCTGCCTGTCCAATTGACAGTCCACCACTGCCTAACACAAGGACTTTTGACACCTACATAAGCAAAACTATTCATACAAATGCAATTTACTATCTCATTATCTGAAGTGAGAACACATTCAGCCATGAAACCATATCATATTTGAATTACTGATGACAATGTAAAGATAAAGATATATGTTGTACGTCGAAGCAAAAGCAGTCGTAAATGATAACAATACTGCAAAGATAAAACAGACACGAGTATATATACATATAATATATACACAAGGCGGACGGATGTGCAAAGGACAATCTGTACAGAGACCAAGTGACTTTCAATGTTGGAGAAAATCTTAACTGTTACAGCAAGCATTTTGTGCATGGTGTCGTTCGCTGTGTTTGGTATAAAGACATTATGTCACCTGAGGAGGTTGTGGTCTGGCCTTGGAGCTAGGCATGACATTCACCACAGACTTCTCCTTTGTCTTGATCAGGTCCAGGAAGTAGTCAAAGAGAAACTGAAACACAGGGTCACACTCTGACGACGTATCCATTAATACGGTCAAATGTAACCTCAAATATCTCTTCACAAAAATATTTCGCAACTGTTTCATTGGCGTCTACATGTTTGTTTTCTCCAAATATACAACTCGTCAACTCAAAAGCTGTTGATTCATAACGGACGCTATGATACTATCCAAATAGCACGTTATCAACAACTTTGTTAACTCTGCTTCTCATTGCTGTATCTTTGCAAAATAAAATACTTGTGACAAGTCTTACTTCAGTGTCTGTTGGTCCTCCATACGCCTCAGGGTGAAACTGCGCCGTAAAAATCGGTTTGGTTTTGTGCATGACACCCTGTCAACGGAAGCAGTATTCGGGTATATTTTCATTGTTGTATTCAATATTAGCGTATGGCATCTTAACACGGAATGTTGGTGCAATGTCCAGGGATGCGGGTACAGTATGCTACTCAACAGAAGGTCAAAAACATCCGATGTTTCCATGTGACTACAGTTAATCTGTCAAGAACATCCCATGTTTCCATGTGACTACAGTTAATCTGTCAAGAACATCCCATGTTTCCATGTGACTACAGTTAATCTGTCAAGAACATCCCATGTTTCCATGTGACTACAGTTAATCTGTCAAGAACATCCCATGTTTCCATGTGACTACAGTTAATCTGTCAAAAACAGCCGATGTTTCCATGTGACTACAGTTAATCTGTCAAAAACATCCCATGTTTCCATGTGACTACAGTTAATCTGTCAAGAACATCCCATGTTTGCATGTGACTACAGTTAATCTGTCAAAAACATCCCATGTTTCCATGTGACTACAGTTAATCTGTCAAAAACAGCCGATGTTTCCATGTGACTACAGTTAATCTGTCAAGAACATCCCATGTTTCCATGTGACTACTGTAAACATGATTTAGTTCCGAGTAGTAAATGTTCCGGTTCGGAATAAATGCCGTGAAATTGAGAATGGATGACACGAATAAAAATTCCGCACATACCGCAAATATTCCATCGAACAGGAACAAATACCGTAGGCCTAACCTATTCCAGTCATTATTGAATGCCAAATGGACTCATCCAACTTGTCAACATCCGGGATGTCTACTAACTTCAACTTGGTTACATGTTGACTGTAACCTGGCTACTAACTGTAACTTGGTTACATGCTGACTGTAACTTGGCAACTGACTAACTGTAACTTGGTTACATGTCGACTGTAACTTGGTTACATGTCGACTGTAACCTGGCTACTGACTGTAACCTGGTTACATGTTGACTGTAATCTGGCTACTGACTGTAACTTGGTTACATGTCGACTATAACCTGGCTACTGACTGTAACTTGGTTACATGTTGACTGTAACCTGGTTACTGACTGTAACTTGGTTACATGCTGACTGTAACTTGGCTACTGACTAACTGTAACTTGGTAACATGTTGACTGTAACCTGGCTACTGACTGTAACTTGGTTACATGTCGACTGTAACCTGGCTACTGACTGTAACTTGGTTACATGTCGACTGTAACCTGGCTACTGACTGTAACCTGGTAACATGTCGACTGTAACCTAGCTACTGACTTTAACTTGGTTACATGTTGACTGTTACCTTGTTACTGACTGTAACTTGGTTACATGCTGACTGTAACCTAGCTACTGACTTTAACTTGGTTACATGTTGACTGTTACCTTGTTACTGACTGTAACTTGGTTACATGTTGATTGTAACCTGGCTACTGACTGTAACATGGTCACATAATGACTGTAACCTGGCTACTGACTGACTGTAACTTGGTTACATGTTGACTGTAACCTGGCTACTGACTGTAACCTGATTAATGAAGGTAACTTGGTTACATAATAACTGAACTCTATTTAACACAAGATTCATTTAGAATCATCAGTTCGCATTCTTGGGAATCTACAATGTATTTTCATAAAAAAAATTAAGTAACTTTCACACATTATAATTGCTTCTTGATAGCCACATGATTTGTTCCATATGGATTTGTTCCATATGGAACAAATACCGTAGGAAAATCTTTTTTTCCTTTCCGTTCCCCCCACGCCCCACTTTTTAAGACCACCCCAACAAACAAAACCCTCTTATAGACACTTTATGATGTGTGTGGAAGTTCCTCTTTACCCGGAATAAATTCTGTGTGTGCGGAACGAAATAATTGTTCCGCATGCACTATTACAGGAACAAATGTTGGAATGAAAAGTTCCGCCGGAACTTTTACTATGGGGGAACCAAATCTTTTTTACACTACTGTTAATCTGTCAAGAACATCCCATGTTTGCATGTGACTACAGTTAATCTGTCAAGAACATCCTATGTTTGCATGTGACTACAGTTAATCTGTCAAGAACATCCCATGTTTCCATGTGACTACTGTTAATCTGTCAAGAACATCCCATGTTTGCATGTGACTACAGTTAATCTGTCAAGAACATCCCATGTTTCCATGTGACTACTGTTAATCTGTCAAGAACATCCCATGTTTCCATGTGACTACAGGTAATCTGTCAAGAACATCCCATGTTTCCATGTGACTACAGTTAATCTGTCAAGAACATCCCATGTTTCCATGTGACTACAGTTAATCTGTCAAGAACATCCCATGTTTCCATGTGACTACGGTGAAGCACGGCAGGTATTGCATCACAATATCTTGCTAGTTTTAGGCGTGTTTAAATTGTGTACTGTAGTAAGTGTAAAAACTACATTACCTCGTTTGTGCCATCGTTTGCATTAACGAAGAGAACCCCCCAGTCCTCTGGAAGAGACTCACTGTCAACCGCAAAGCCGTGATTCTGAGATGTAATGAAAGCCTGATTGGTGACGGAGTTCACAACAGGTTGGTTGTGCCCCCTGCAAATGAACATTCATTGTTGAGATGGTATCTTAAATAACTAATGTGCCGATATATTTGCATTTCTAAAACAATGAACACATTTATGATTTTGGTTTGTAACCTTGTTCTTCGCTTCGCTTCAGTGCATTATATATATTGATTACCTGTTGCCAAGAGGTAATTTGTAGGACTTTGCACCGGCAGCAAGTGCTGTAATTTGGTTCCCCATACAGATTCCGAACACCGGCTCGGACCTTGTTCCAAGAACCTGGCAATATACATTCAGTCAGTAGCATGGCATCGTCAGCTCATACTTATATAATGGCGATACATAGCCACAAAATCCTTTTAAAACCAACTGGTAAAATACGGAAACAGACAAATATTAGCCTATATGACATTTTCCCTCTGACACTGACCCATCAAACACACATGCTCTTGTACGTACGCAAACTTACACACACGCAGCAGAGGCTATGTCCTAAGGATGTGGACGCTTTTAGGATTTTAAATACTGAAAATCTATGATAAGTGTAACACCATGACATATAGACAGTATAGCTGGCGGAGGGTGTGGTTGGTATACTACTACCATTACATGCACACAATATAGCTGGCGGAGAGTGTGGTTGGTGTACTACCTTCACATGCAGACAGTATAGCTGGGTATGTTTGGTGAACTACCATCACATGCAGATAGTATAGCTGGGTGTGGTTGGTGTACTGCCATCACATGCAGACAGTATAGCTGGGTATGGTTGGTGTACTACCATCACATGCAGAGAGTATACCTGGGTGTGGTTGGTGTACTGCCATCAAATGCACACAGTATAGCTGGGTATGGTTGGTGTACTACCATCACATGCAGACAATATAGCTGGGTATGGTTGGTGTACTACCATAACATGCAGACAGTATACCTGGCAGAGGGTATGGTTGGTGTAGTACCATCCAATGCAGACAGTATAGCTGGCAGAGGCTGTGGTTCGTGTACTGACATCACATGCAGACAGTATAGCTGGGTCTGGTTGGTGTACTACCATCACATGCAGACAGTATAGCTGGCGAAGGGTATGGTTGGTGAACTACCATCACATACAGATGGTAAAGCTGGCGAAGGGTATGGTTGGTGTACTACCATCACATGCAGACAGTATACCTGGATATGGTTGGTGTACTACCATCACATGCAGATAGTATAGCTGGGTATGGTTGGTGTACTACCATCACATGCAGAGAGTATACCTGGGTGTGGTTGGTGTACTGCCATCAAATGCAGACAGTATAGCTGGGTATGGTTGGTGTACTACCATCACATGCAGACAGTATAGCTGGGTATGGTTGGTGTACTACCATCAGATGCAGACAGTATACCTGGCAGAGGGTGTGGTTAGTGTACTAACTTCACATGCAGACAGTATAGCTGGGTATGGTTGGTGTACTACCATAACATGCAGACAGTATACCTGGCAGAGGGTATGGTTGGTCTACTACCATCCAATGCAGACAGTATAGATGGCAGAGGGTGTGGTTCGTGTACTGACATCACATGCAGACAGTATAGCTGGGTATGGTTGGTGTACTACTATCACATGCAGATAGTATAGCTGATGTAGGGTATGGTTGGAGTACTACCATCACATGGAGACAGTATAGCTGATGGAGGGTATGGTTGGTGTACTACCATCACATGCAGACAGCATATCTGGCGGAGGGTATGGTTGGTGTACTACCATCACATGTAGAGAGTATACCTGGGTGTGGTTGGTGTACTGCCATCAAATGCAGACAGTATAGCTGGGTATGGTTGGTGTACTACCATCACATGCAGACAGTATAGCTGGGTATGGTTGGTGTACTACCATCAGATGCAGACAGTATACCTGGCAGAGGGTGTGGTTGGTGTACTAACTTCACATGCAGACAGTATAGCTGGGTATGGTTGGTGTACTACCATAACATGCAGACAGTATACCTGGCAGAGGGTATGGTTGGTGTACTACCATCCAATGCAGACAGTATAGCTGGCAGAGGGTGTGGTTCCTGTACTGACATTACATGCAGACAGTATAGCTGGGTATGGTTGGTGTACTACTATCACATGCAGACAGTATACCTGGCAGAGGGTGTGGTTGGTGTACTACTATCACATGTAGACAGTATAGCTGGGTATGGTTGGTGTACTACCATCACATGCAGACAGTATAGCTGGCAGAGGGTATGGTTGGTGTACTACCATCCAATGCAGACAGTATAGCTGGCAGAGGGTGTGGTTCGTGTACTGACATCACATGCAGATAGTATAGCTGGGTATGGTTGGTGTACTACTATCACATGCAGACAGTATAGCTGTGTCTTGTTGGTGTACTACCATCACATGCTGACAGTATAGCTGGCGAAGGGTATGGTTGGTGAACTACCATCACATACAGATAGTAAAGCTGGCGAAGGGTATGGTTGGTGTACTACCATCACATGCAGATAGTATAGCTGGATATGGTTGGTGTACTACCATCACATGCAGATAGTATAGCTGGGTATGGTTGGTGTACTACCATCAGATGCAGACAGTATACCTGACAGAGAGTGTGGTTGGTGTACTAACTTCACATGCAGACAGTATAGCTGGGTATGGTTGGTGTACTACCATAACATGCAGACAGTATACCTGGCAGAGGGTATGGTTGGTGTAGTACCATCCAATGCAGACAGTATAGCTGGCAGAGGGTGTGGTTCGTGTACTGACATCACATGCAGACAGTATAGCTGGGTATGGTTGGTGTACTACTATCACATGCAGACATTATAGCTGGGTATGATTGGTGTACTACTATCACATGCAGACAGTATACCTGGCAGAGGTTGTGGTTGGTGAACTACTATCACATGCAGACAGTATAGCTGTGTCTTGTTGGTGTACTTCCATCACATGCTGACAGTATAGCTGGCGAAGGGTATGGTTGGTGAACTACCATCACATACAGATAGTAAAGCTGGCGAAGGGTATGGTTGGTGTACTACCATCACATGCAGACAGTATACCTGGATATGGTTGGTGTACTACCATCACATGCAGATAGTATAGCAGGGTATGGTTGGTGTACTACCATCACATACAGATAGTATAGCTGGGTATGGTTGGTGTACTACCTTCACATGCAGACAGTATAGATGGGTATGGTTGGTGTACTACCATCACATACAGATAGTATAGCTGGGTGTGGTTCCTGTACTACCATCACGTGCAGATAGTATAGCTGGCGGAGGGTATGGTTGGTGTACTACCATCACATGCAGTAAGTATAGCTGGCGAAGGATATGGTTGGTGTACTACCATCACATGCAGACGGTATAGCTGATGGAGGGTATGGTTGGTGTACTACCATCACATACAGATAGTATAGCTGGCGAAGGATATGGTTGGTGTACTACCATCACATGCAGATAGTATAGCTCGCGAAGGATATGGTTGCTGTACTACCATCACATTCAGACAGTATAGCTGATGGAGGGTATGGTTGGTGTACTACCATCACATGCAGATAGTATAGCTGGGTATGGTTGGTGTACTACCATTACATGCAGATAGTATAGCTGGGTGTGGTTGGTGTACTGCCATCACATGCAGACAGTATAGCTGGGTATGGTTGGTGTACTACCATCACATGCAGAGAGTATACCTGGGTGTGGTTGGTGTACTGCCGTCAAATGCAGACAGTATAGCTGGGTATGGTTGGTGTACTACTATCACATGCAGACAGTATAGCCGGGTATGGTTGGTGTACTACCATCAGATGCAGACAGTATACCTGGCAGAGAGTGTGGTTGGTGTACTAACTTCACATGCAGACAGTATAGCTGGGTATGGTTGGTGTACTACCATAACATGCAGACAGTATACCTGGCAGAGGGTATGGTTTGGTGTAGTACCATCCAATGCAGACAGTATAGCTGGCAGAGGGTGTGGTTCGTGTACTGACATCACATGCAGACAGTATAGCTGGGTATGGTTGGTGTACTACTATCACATGCAGACAGTATAGCTGGGTATGATTGGTGTACTACTATCACATGCAGACAGTATACCTGGTAGAGGTTGTGGTTGGTGTACTACTGTCACATGTAGACAGTATAGCTGGGTATGGTTGGTGTACTACCATCACATGCAGACAGTATACCGGGCAGAGGGTATGGTTGGTGTACTACCATCCAATGCAGACAGTATAGCTGGCACAGGGTGTGGTTCGTGTACTGACATCACATGCTGACAGTATAGCTGGGTATGGTTGGTGTACTACTATCACATGCAGACAGTATAGCTGTGTCTTGTTGGTGTACTACCATCACATGCAGACAGTATAGCTGGCGAAGGGTATGGTTTGTGAACTACCATCACATACAGATAGTAAAGCAGGCGAAGGGTATGGTTGGTGTACTACCATCACATGCAGACAGTATAGCTGGATATGGTTGGTGTACTACCATCACATGCAGACAGTATAGATGGGTATGGTTGGTGTACTACCATCACATGCAGATAGTATAGCTGGATGTGGTTGGTGTACTACCATCACATGCAGATAGTATAGCTGGCAGAGGGTATTGTTGGTGTACTACCATCACTTGCCGACAGTATAGCTGGGTATGGTTGGTGTACCACCATCACATGCAGATAGTATAGCTGGGTGTGGTTGGTGTACTACCATCACGTGCAGATAGTATAGCTGGCGGAGCGTATGGTTGGTCCACTACCATCACATGCAGATAGTATAGCTGATGGAGGGTAAGGTTGGTGTACTACCATCACATGCAGACAATATAGCTGATGGAGGTTATAGTTAGTGTACTACTATCACATGCAGATAGTATAGCTGGCGAAGGGTATGGTTGGTGTACTACCATCACATCCAGTAAGTATAGCTGGCGAAGGATATGGTTGGTGTACTACCATCACATGCAGACGGTATAGCTGATGGAGGGTATGGTTGGTGTACTACCATCAGATACAGATAGTTTAGCTCGCGAAGGATATGGTTGGTGTACTACCATCACATGCAGATAGTATAGCTGGCGAATGATATGGTTCGTGTACTACCATCACATTCAGACAGTATAGCTGATGGAGGGTATGGTTGGTGTACTACCATCACATGCAGATAGTATAGCTGGGTATGGTTGGTGTACTACCATCACATGCAGACAGTATAGCTGGGTATGGTTGGTGTACTACCATTACATCCAGACAGTATAGCTGGCGGAGGGTATGGTTGGTGTACTACCATCACATGTAGATGGTATAGCTGATGGAGGGTATAGTTGGTGTACTACCATCACATACAGATAGTATAGTCGGTGAAGGGTATTGTTGGTGTACTACCATCACATGCAGACAGTATAGCTGGCGGAGGGTATGGTTGGTGTACTACCATCACATGCAGACGGTATAGCTGATGGAGGGCACAGTTGGTGTACTACCATCACATACAGATAGTATAGCTGGCGAAGGGTATGGTTGGTGTACTACCATCACATGCAGTAAGTATAGCTGGCTAAGGTTACGGTTGGTGTACTTCCATCACATTCAGACAGTATAGCTGGCGGAGGGTATGGATGGTGTACTACCATCACATGCAGACAGTATAGCTGGCGGAGGGTATGGTTGGTGTACAACCATCACATGCAGATAGTATAGCTGATGTAGGGTATGGTTGGTGTACTACCATCACATGGAGACAGTATAGCTGATGGAGGGTATCGTTGGTGTACTACCATCACATGCAGACAGTATATCTGGCGGAGGGTATGGTTGGTGTACTACCATCACATGGAGACAGTATAGCTGATGGAGGGTATCGTTGGTGTACTACCATCAAATGCAGACAGTATAGCTGGGTATGGTTGGTGTACTACCATCACATGCAGACAGTATAGCTGGGTATGGTTGGTGTACTACCATCGGATGCAGACAGTATAGCTGGGTATGGTTGGTGTACTACCATCAGATGCAGACAGTATACCTGGCAGAGGGTGTGGTTGGTGTACTACCATCACATGCATACAGTATAGCTGGGTATGGTTGGTGTACTACCATCACAAGCAGACAGTATACCTGGCGGAGGGTATGGTTGGTGTACTACCATCACATGCAGATAGTATAGCTGATGTAGGTTATGGTTGGTGTACTACCATCACATGCAGACAGTATAGCTGATGGAGGTTATGGTTGGTGTACTACCATCACATGCAGACGGTATAGCTGGGTATGGTTGGTGTACTACCGGCACATGCAGACAGTATAGCTGGGTATGGTTGGTGTACTACCATCACATACAGATGGTAAAGCTGGCGAAGGGTATGGTTGGTGTACTACCATCACATGTAGATAGTATAGCTGGGTATGGTTGGTGTACTACCGGCACATGCATACAGTATAGCTGGGTATGGTTGGTGTACTACCATCACATGCAGACAGTATAGCTGGCGGAGGGTATGGTTGGTGTACTACAATCACTTGCAAACGATATAGCTGATGGAGGGTATAGTTGGTGTACTACCGTCACATGCAGATAGTATAGCTGGCGAAGGATATGGTTGGTGTACTACCATCACATGCAGACGGTATAGCTGATGGAGGGTATGGTTGGTGTACTACCATCACATACAGATAGTATAGCTGGCGGAGGGTATGGCTGGTGTACTACCATCACTTGCAAACGGTATAGCTGATGGAGGGTATAGTTGGTGTACTACCATCACATGCAGATAGTATAGCTGGCGAAGGATATGGTTGGTGTACTACCATCACATTCAGACAGTATAGCTGATGGAGGGTACAGTTGGTGTACTACCATCACATACAGATAGTGTAGCTGGCGAAGGGTATGGTTGCTGTACTACCATCACATGCAGACAGTATAGCTGGCTACGGATATGGTTGGTGTACTACCATCACATTCAGACAGTATAGCTGGCGGAGGGTATGGTTGGTGTACAACCATCACATGCAGACAGTATAGCTGATGTAGGGTATGGTTGGTGTACTACCATCACATGCAGACAGCATATCTGGCGGAGGGTATGGTTGGTGTACTACCATCACATGCAGACAGTATAGCTGGTTATGGTTGGTGTACTACCATCACAAGCAGACAGTATAGCTGGCGGAGGGTATGGTTGGTGTACTACCATCACATGCAGACAGTATACCTGGCGGAGGGCATGGTTGGTGTACAACCATCACATGCAGACGGTATAGCTGTTGGAGGGTATGGTTGGTGTACTACCATCACATGCAGACGGTATAGCTGATGGAGGGTATAGTTGGTGCACTACCATCACATGCAGATAGTATAGCTGGGTATGGTTGGTGTACTACCGGCACATGCGGACAGTATAGCTGGGTATGGTTGGTGTACTACCATCACATGCAGACAGTATAGCTGGCGGAGGGTATGGTTGGTGTACTACCATCACATGCAGACGGTATAGCTGATGGAGGGTATAGTTGGTGTACTACCATCACATACAGATAGTAAAGCTGGCGAAGGGTATGGTTGGTGTACTACCATCACATGCAGACAGTATAGCTCGCGGAGGGTATGGTTGGTGTACTATCATCACATGCAGACAGTATAGCTGGTTCACTTAAATGTGAAACGCTAACTACCTATGTCATATATATTGTAATCGAACTGTCTTACTTACTTAATCAATCGGATATTATATTTTGGGATCACTGACCTTTCGTACATGATGTATGGTCTCCACAGACAAAGACGGATCACCGGGGCCGTTAGAAATAAACAGTCCATCATAGGCGTCGTTCGTAAAGTCATAGTCCCACGGCACCAGTCGCACTTCTGCTCCTCTCTGTCAACAGTTTAAACCAATGCTGTAAACGGTCTTGAACAGATATACAAAAAGGACATTGTTTCCACACAAGTGCTCTGACTGATTCACACGTGTAAAGGAAAGCCAGTCAGGTGTCGATCAGAGAACTCTTATAACGCCTTTTCGTGGAACATACTGACATGCGTAGCTTGTCGTGGCTTACCTTGACAAGATTCCTCAACATATTGTGCTTCACACCACAATCCAGAGCCAAGATGCGTATGGGATTACCTTTGCCGTAAATCTGTATATCCTGTTGAAATATGTGAGAATGCTTAATTCACCCACATATTTAACCGCCAAAGTAACGCAAGTTGTATATAAAAGGCGGATAAGGTTGAGACAATTACAGGTGTGGAGGTAACAAGGACTGGTCACAGAGAAGCCATTGGGCATTGGTTGCTTGATTAAAAAACATTATTGAAAATATCCCAGCGAAACAAGGGACCCTGCTGACAGAAAACTCAGAGTGGGACTCGTATCCATTTATAGTGTGTGTGATCTCCCTTAGCTGCTTAGTTGCAGGCAAGTGAACAAGTCTTTGGAAGAATGTTCTCTTGTCTGCAAGTGTTTCTCGTGGTGTTAGCTAAATACAATACTGTAGATAACATACCTTTGTAGAAACTTCCGCCATCAAATTGCGAAGATTAGGATCATCAAATTCCACCTCCCTGCCATCAAACTCAATTTTACCAAGAACGGTCCCCTACATGAAAGACAGAACATTCAATGTGCAACATTCAACATTCAATATTCTCGTACGTGTTGTTCTAGATACAGAAGTTGCACCACACATAGACCCCTATTTGGGGAGTTCATAGAAACATAAACACAGACGAATCGCTTGGTTAACCAATTAAATGTAACGGAATGTATTATGAAATACATCTTGCATTTGTTGATATTATTGCAAATTACTTACTCTGTTATTAAGATGGCATGTACACCTCTGCATCTGAACAACTTAACATGAACGCCCAGTATTCACACTATTAGTTGTACCGCATACATCGGAAAACACCATATTCACCTCGTCTCTGATCATCTTTGTAATCATCCTTGTGTCGATGCCATACAGGGCAGGGATGCGTTCTTCATTCAACCATTGTGACAAAGACTTGACAGCATTCCAGTGACTGTGTTGGTCAGTGTAGTCCTGGACAACCAGACCACTCACCTGACATAAGAAAGTAGTGTTTACATCCTATTGTTTAGTGATATATACAAACAAAGCCAAGATGGAGATGTAAAACAAATTGAACGTTTGAGACAACGGAAGGCAAGCATGTACTGTTTCCTAGCTCGCGACAAGTCCAGTTTCGTAGCGCCAATTATACATTTGCCAACAGGTTATTACTGGGGGTTTCAGCACTAACTCAGATTCCCCTATTCACAGAGCACACATGTAACACGGACATGAGGAGGGTGAACTCTTACTTGGATATTCTCAGACTCTACATATCTACGAAGTCCATAGCAGTCAAGTATTTCTGTGTCAGGAACCCCATAGTTGCCGATGATAGGGTAGGTCAGTGTCAGAATTTGACCTCTGTAACTTGGGTCAGTCAGGGCTTCGGGATAGCTGAATCAACATTCAATATCACTCAGATATCTTTAAGAACATTTAGAAATTTGAGTGTTAATATCCAAGTGAGGATTTACAGGAATTCAACTTTGGTTAAATGCGAGGTTCTGAATCAGGTATTTTTATCAATGTACTAGAATCTCGCATTCAAAGAATACACAAGCTAAAAAGTCAGACTTGTCCCCGCTGAACAGTGTCATGGCAGAGTTATACATAAAACGGTGTACTGTACAAAGCTTCCTGAAGGTTGAGTATTTGGCATAGTATGGAAACAGAGATACTTATAGGTGTTACAATCAAACAACGTTTTGGTAATTTTGTTTCAAGTCACCTACCTTTTTATGGATTTAATTGCATTGTCGTGGCCATTTTATAAATGAATTTTAAATGAATTCCATAGAATTGGCACACAGACACCGTAATATATGCATATGTTCGCACTACATTGAGTGTACTGTATAATGTGACATCTGATATGATTTAATACATGTACGGCAATATCAAACCAGAATAAATCGTTATCAAATTGCTAAGGCTGTTGTTGGAATCATTTTAAGCAACATAGCAAGACCCTTATTTAACTCTGGATTCTTCTTTGGCATACCCGACAAGTCCAGTGTTGAAAACTACCTCGCCTGATGTAGGGCTCTCATAACCAAAAGAGTAACCCTGGAACCGGCTGCCATTCTGGAGTACTAAACTGGCTTTGGGAGGCTGAAACAGACCCACAGAAATTAATAGTAGGTTAGTAGGATAAATAATGTGTTCGAGGGAATTGGGGCTTCTCTCTCTCTCTCTCTCTCTCTCTCTCTCTCTCTCTCTCTCTCTCTCTCTCTCTCTCTCTCTCTCTCTCTCTCTCTCTCTCTCTCTCTCTCTCTCTCTCTCTCTCTCTCTCTCTCTCACACACACACACACACACACTCATTCTTTGACACATAAACTCCGACAGCACACTGCAGATACGTGAACTCTGACTGTAGATTACAGATTGTGTGCACCATGTGTTTTTACACAATTCAACCTTAAATGGGTATGGCAGAACCTCAAATGAATATACTATTCACACTTTGCTAAGGATCAAATCATGGATTCAACAGAAAACTTTGATGTGGGGTCTAATTTGGTTTAAATATCTAAGCCTATTGTTAGCATGGATGCTTGGTATCAGTGTGCCATTGCATATTCTTGGTCCCATACCTGCTGTAGACAGTTGTTGTTTATTTGTCAGTGACTCGTTCCATGGTTTGCAAAATGGTTGATTGGTGTCATGAAAACAATTTTTATGGTTACTCATGTGTCAAGTGCATAAGGTTAGATTAAAGTGGCTGTTTGCCTAAAGAGGGGTTGCGATTTCATTATTTATCCAGTTTTAAATGGATTCAATTTTAAATTATAAATCTACGTTTAAGTAAAATTTTTGTGATCCTTATCAAAGTGTGAGTAGTATATATGAGACGGAGTTACCGTGTCAGTAGAGTGTACAGCAAACGTTGATAAAGAGCAGGTCTCTTTCATCGGATAGAGAGCGAGTGATGACCGTGAGTGTTTAAGAACACCGAAAACCAGGCGATACATCACCATTGCGCACCTGCAACACAAAGGTGGGCATTACGTAAGGTGTATTTCTGTAGAGGTTGTTTGTAGAATTGGTTCCTGGGAATGTTCAGAGAGCATTGAAAGTGGATTTGTTAACTTTGCATGACACATTTCTTTGTTTAACATATTTCAAAATATTCATAAATGTTATACTATATCTATAACTCCATCAAAGTTCATTGGCGTTTGATTCTCGATTCAGGTACTAACTGCATTCGGAGTTTGCCTGCGATTTTTGTCCCTCATACTGAGTTAAAAATTAATCAGTTACTTTCCTATTCGGTTAGACTAACGCTTGACAGTCACAAAAGGGTCAGTTTAAATCAAAGTTGAGCCCTCGTCAGATGCGAGATCCTAAACCTGAGTAAAATCTAGACTTGCTTCAGAAAAGCAAGATTTATGGAACTTCTTTATTGTGAATAACACGACGTTTCGGGTTGTATGCTTGCTTCTTCATCAGGTGAATGATAGGTGGTAGGAAGTATCAGGGGTATGTACATACATACATACATACACATACATACACACACATACATACATACACATACACACACACACATACATACATACACATACACACACACACATACATACATACATACATACATACATACATACATACATACATACATACATACATACATACATACATACATACATACATACATACATACATACATACACACACATACATACATACATACATACATACACACACACACACACATACATACTTACATACATACATTGAGGCACTACAAAGAAAACATGTTTAGCAATGTTTTACAATGTCGAGGAAATGCATGAATACAAACATGAGGCCGGTGATACATTAAAACAACACGCTAATTGATGTGATAGGATATATAGAGCACAAACACAATAATACTGATTATAAATATGTGACAGTTAAGTGAGGACTTATAATGGCGGAAAAATGTTGTCCTTGGTACAGAGTGCATTTAGTGTGCCTTGTTCTGCCTATGATGGGGGATGTTCTTTACAACACGGCCATGCATGCAGTCGAAATTTCTAGACTCCTTTAAGGGCACGTTATGATTTAATGAATTCAAAAGTCCAAGTGATCATAATCATATATTTCAAATCCGAAATGCCAGGACGCGACTTGGTGCGTCAGTGAATCAACCCCTTACTCCCTTGATATATATACAGAAACCAGTCCACAGCTTCAATATACTTCCACAATCCCACAGCGTCCATATACTTCCACAATCCCACAGTGCCCATATACTTCCACAATCCCACAGCGCCAATATCTTTCCACAATCCCACAGCATCCATATACTTCGAAAAAAAATCCCACATCGTCCATATACTTCCACAATCCCACCATGTACATATAACTTCCACAATCCCACAGTGCCCATATACTTCCACAATCCCACAGTGCCCATATACTTCCACAATCCCACAGTGTACATATACTTCCACAATCCCACAGTGTCCATATACTTCCACAATCCCACCATGTACATATCCTTCCACAATCCCACAGTGTACATATACTTGCACAATCCCACAGTGTCCATATACTTCCACAATCCCACAGCGCCCATATACTTCCACAATCCCACAGCGCCCATATCTTTCCACAATCCCACAGCGCCCATATCTTTCCACAATCCCACAGCATCCATACACTTCCACAATCCCACATCGTCCATATACTTCCACAATCCCATCATGTACATATCCTTCCACAATCCCACAGTGCCCATATACTTCCACAATCGCACAGTGTACATATACTTCCACAATCCCACAGTGTACATATACTTCCACAATCCCACAGTGTCCATATACTTCCACAATCCCACAGCGCCCATATACTTCCACAACCCCATACCGTCCATATACTTCCACAATCCCACAGTGTCCATATACTTCCACAATCCCACACCGTCCATATACTTCCACAATCCCACAGCGTCCATATACTTCCACAATCCCACACCGTTCTTATACTTCCACAATCCCACACCGTCCATATACTTCCACAATCCCACAGTGTACATATACTTATGCAATCCAACACCGTCCATATACTTGCACAATCCCACATCGTCTATATATTCCACAATAACACACCGTCCATATAATTCCATAATAACACACCGTCCATATCCTTCCACACACCCACACCGTCCATATACTTATACAATCCCACGGTGTGCATATACTTATACAATCCAACACCGTCCATATACTTCCACAATCCCACAGTCTATATACTTCCACAATCCCACATCGTCTATATATTCCACAATAACACACCGTCCATATATTTCCACAATAACATACCGTCCATATCCTTCCACACACCAACACCGTCCATATACTTATACAATCCCACAGTGTACATATACTTATACAATCCAACACCGTCCATATACTTCCACAACCCCACACCTTCCATATACTTCCACAACCCCACAGTGTACATATATCCAACTTATACAATCCCACACCTTCCATATATTCCACTGTCCATATCCTTCCACACACCCCACACCGTCCATATCCACAATCCCACACCTTCCACACATACCGTCCACTTAACAATCCCACACTGTCCATATCCTTCCACACACCCCACACCGTCCATATACTTTATACAATCCCACAGTGTCCATATCCTTTCCACACCCCCACACCGTCCATATACTTATACAATCCCACACCGTCCATATACTTCCACAACCCCATGCCGTCCATATACTTCCACAATCCCAAGGTGTCCATATACTTCCACAATCCCAAGGTGTCCATATACTTCCACACACCCACACCGTCCATATACTTATACAATCCCACACCGTCCATATACTTCCACAACCCATGCCGCCCATATACTTATACAATACCACACCGTCCATATACTTCCACTACCCCATGTCGTCCATATACTTCCACAATCCCGCAGTGTCCATATACTTCCACAACCCCATTCCGTCCATATACTTCCACAACCCCACACCGTCCATATACTTCCACAACCCCATGCCGTCCATATACTTCCACAATCCATCACCGTCCATATAATTCCACAATCCCACAGCACCCATATACTTCCACAATCTCACATCCTCCATATACTTCCACAATAACAAACCGTCCAAATCCACAACCCCACACCGTCCATATACTTCCACAACCCCACACCGTCCATATAATTTCACAATCCCACAGCACCCATATACTTCCACAATCCCACATCCTCAATATACTTCCACAATCCCAAACCGTCCATATACTTCCACAATCCCATACCGTCCATATACTTCCATAACCCCACACCGTCCATATATTTAGCAATCCCACAGTGTTCATATACTTCCACAATCCCACGGCGTCCATATACTTCCACAACCCAACACCGTCCATATACTTCCACAACCCCATACCGCCTATATACTTCCACAATCCTACAGTGTACATATACTTCCACAATCCCACAGTGTTCATATACTTCCACAACCCCACATCGTCCATATACTTCGACATTCCCACACCGTCCATATACTTCCACAACCCCACACCGTTCATATACTTCCACAATCCCACACCGTCCATATACTTCCACAACCCCACATCGACCATATCCTTCCACAGCCCCACAGTGTACATATACTTCCACAATCCCACACCGTCCATATACTTCCACAGCTCCACAGTGTACATATACTTCCACAATCCCACAGTGTCCATATACTTCCACAATCCCACAGTGTACATATACTTCCACAATCCCACAGTGTACATATACTTCCACAATCCCACAGTGTACATATACTTCGACAACCCTACAGTCTACATATACTTCCACAATCCCACAGTGTACATATACTTCCACAATCCCACAGTGTACATATACTTCCATAATCCCACAGGTACATATACTTCCACAATCCCACAGTGTACATATACTTCCACACCCCAGTGTACATATACTTCCACATATACCCACAGGGTGTACATATACTTCCACAACCCCACAGTGTACATATACTTCCACAAGTGTACATATACTTCCAGTGTACATATCCACCCACAGGGTACATATACTTCCACAATCCCACAGTGTACATATACTTCCACAACCCCACGGTGTACATATACTTCCACAATCCCACAGGGTACATATACTTCCACTACCCTACAGGGTACATATACTTCCACAATCCCACAGGGTACATATACTTCCACAATCCCACAGGGTACACTGATGTGTACAGAGAAAACACCGCATCGATGTGTAGAGGAACATCGAAGATGTTTTATTCTTGATTCTTTCTGTTATGTTCTCGTAGATTATCATGGAAAAAATCATACATATTTCCAATAAAGGCCTAATAAGTTGAAAGATGACCTTTAAGATAAAATACATTAGTAGATACTAATCATTATTGCTACATACAAGGTACTGTTGTGCATGTGTCCTTGTACTGCGACCATAACGCGATTATCGTCACGTGATAGTGTGAACAGCTCTAATTACGAGATAACACCAACTGGTTTCTAAATGACGCTGCGGGGTATTGATGACAGCCAGTATGCGTATGGCCATCACATTTCCGAGTGCTTGTGATACATGACCTGTGCGCGGCCCATCACAAGAGGAATTCAAGTGGTTCTTAGTTCTAGAAAGTATGTTGTTAACCATGTTTTGATCACGATATGGTGAGAAACGAATGGGTGCAAGGTGTCCAGCCATTAACGCCTTTTCCAAATATTTAGAACATTCATTTGGTCACACACCTTCGCTCGGTTTACTTAATCGTTTGCAAAATGAGAAACATTTAGGCGCAATACGATTCGTTTTCTGTAGTGTGACTTTGACAAAGTAGTGGAGTTTCTATCAAGTCGTCAAATTATTCCACATTCTTACTGTCCAAAGGAACTGATTCATGAGTAGAATTTAATAGTTTAATTGGAAGTTGGCTGTTAGCAGCATTTCAAAGAGCATACATAGTCTTTTCAATACAAGTTAGCTGGGTATAAGGTTGTAAAGATACGAGTATGCTATATCATTATACAGTTAATTAGTTCATAAATATTGAACGCTAACACTAGAGTTAGTGAGTGAGTTTAGTTTACGCCGCACTCAGCAATATTCCAGCTATATGGCGGCGGTCTGTAAATAATCGAGTCTGAACCAGACAATCCAGTAATCAACAGCATGAGCATCGATCTAAGCAATTGGGATACGATGACATGTGTCAACCAAGTCAGTGATCCTGGCCACCCGATCCCGTTAGTGGCCTCTTACGACAAGCATGGGTTACTGAAGGTTCATTTTAACCCGGACCTTCACGGACCTAACACTAGAGAAGAACCCGTACGAAAAAACTCTAGTCGTGCCTTACCTGACTGACCATGTGTATTTGAGAGGTTTATTTTTCACTGTTTGACCTACATGTAACGATCCCTATTGCCATCTTTGGTTGTCTCTGAATGACCTGCGTGTAACGATCCCTATTGCCATCTTTGGATGTCTCTGAATGACCTGCGTGTAACGATCACTATTGCCATCACCATGATGTCTAGTCGTGCCTTACCTGACTGACCATGTGTATTTGAGAGGTTTATTTTTCACTGTTTGACCTACATGTAACGATCCCTATTGCCATCTTTGGTTGTCTCTGAATGACCTGCGTGTAACGATCACTATTGCCATCACCATGATGTCTAGTCGTGCCTTACCTGACTGACCATGTGTATTTGAGAGGTTTATTTTTCACTGTTTGACCTACATGTAACGATCCCTATTGCCATCTTTGGATGTCTCTGAATGACCTGCGTGTAACGATTCCTGTTGCCAACTTTGTGAGGTCTCCGAATGACCTCCCTGCATGGGTACAATGTGTGAAGCCCATTTCTGGTGTCCCCAGCCGTGATATTGCTAGAATACTGCTACAAGAGGAGTAAAACCATACTCACTCACGCACTCACTCACTCTGAATGACCTGCGGGTAACGATCCTTAGTGCCAACTTTGTGAGGTCTCTAAATGACCTCATCACATGGGTACAATGTGTGAAGCCCATTTCCTGTGTCCCGAGCCATGATATTGCTGGAATATTGCTAAGCGGCGTAAAACCAGACTCACTCACGCACTCACTCACTCATTCTGAATGACCTGCGTGTAACAACCATATTGCCATTTGTGTGAGGTCTCTGAATGACCTGTTTGTAATGATCCCTATGGCCATCATCGTGAGATATCTGAATGACCTGTTTGTAATGATCCCTATGGCCATCATCGTGAGATTTCTGAATGACCAGTTTGTAATGATCCCTATGGCCATCATCGTGAGATTTCTGAATGACCTGTTTGTAATGATCCCTATGGCCATCATCGTGAGATTTCTGAATGACCTGTTTGTAATGATCCCTATGGCCATCATCGTGATATTTCTGAATGACCTGTTTGTAACCATCCCTATTGCCAACTGTGTGAGGTCTCTGAATGAGGTGTATTGTCATTTGTGTTTTCACTGATTGTCACTGGTTTAACGGCCCTTGTTGTCATCTATGTATTTTTCTCAGTGTATCTGTCATATCATGCTGTCACTCGGCTTCGACTTGTACATGTCGGGGTAGCCTAATGGTTATCATGTATTTTCTCGTCATGCCGATTTCCTAGATTTGATTCTTCAAATAAGTACAATTTGCAAACTCAACCATTTCTGTCTGCTTCCGATATTTACGGAAATTAAAAAGTTGCATAAACACAGACACTTTTATTCACGGAGAGAGATAGTTTCTCTGGACATTTCCAATATATACCCCCACCCCCTTCTCCCCAATAAGAAGAAATAAACTTTGTTACATACAGCAGAAAATATTTGTTGACAACAACGTAAATATCACGATATATAGTGTGAGGAAAAAAGCGTTCTGGTCATACCACACTGGTTAGAAATTACTCTTGTGCCATGATGTCACTCTGAAAGGAAACTGTTCTATTCATGACGGTCATTTCAAGAACGTGATCACTCCAGCGTGAAATGAACATGGGAACTCATTTTCTGTGAATTACTCTACAAGCTTGCCAATTATGGGAATTGGTGATTCGATAAGGTCGCAAGTATGCCTCTTTCGCAGTCTCTTGTTAGCCAGCTGCAAAATACTCGTACCGCATGTTACACTGAAACTGCAAACCTCGTGTTTCTCCACAATAGCAGTGTTAACTCTACAGTATTCTGGCAGTGTTATCTCTACAGTATTCTGGCAGTGTTATCTCTACAGTATTCTGACAGTGTTAACTCTACAGTATTCTGGCAGTGTTATCTCTACAGTATTCTGGCAGTGTTATCTCTACAGTATTCTGGCAGTGTTATCTCTACAGTATTCTGACAGTGTTAACTCTACAGTATTCTGGCAGTTTCAACTCTACAGTACCCTTACGCAATATAGCGACCTTCCCTCTGCCCAGATGTGTGATCCACAAAATAGTGCGTGTTTATGTTTCATATATCCCTTTTATAGGACGTTATGCAGTTTTGGTATAGTTATGAGTGTTAATTGATGGATGTACCCACACAATACACTTCATGATCCATATGGAAACATTGCCTTCATCGACATTAGATACATAAATCCAATTTCTTCACATTACAAGAACCTGTTATGATGCATATGACCACGTACCTGAGGAGACATTTACAATAAACTACCGTTGTGGTTATTAGATTAGAATCTACTTACGCGTTCTGGGGCCAACTGTACGCAGTGCTGTGTGAGGGCTGGCAGCTACATCGATAGTCACGCCAATATGGCCTCACTTGGCCCGGTGTTGTGTCTGATCACGTGGCTTTCTGGGAGGACAACCCATACGTGTACCGGCAGTACTTAATAAACAAATGACCTCTGGCTAAATTCTACCAGTTTAAAAAAAGCCAATAAACCGCGGGCATTCATTACTTGTACACGTTACATATCTTTAGACCGCATCTAGATGCATCTTGTAGCAATTGCAACTTGTCAATCGTTTGCTTGTTTTACTCAAATAGGTTGTATTTTGAAAGTTAGTGACAGTTTATGTCTGTCTGTCTGTGTGTGTGTGTGTGTGTGTCTGTGTGTGTGTCGTCTGTGCGTAGGGGTGCAGTCAACCATCAAACACCGTCAAACGTCTTGCAGAATGTTTCGCATTTTTCGGCTGTGAAAGACTCTATAAAGCGTTTCCAAGACCTACCTACCTACCTACCTACCTACCTACCCAACCACCTACCTACCTACCTACCTACCTACCTACCTACCTACCTACCCACCTTATCACCTACCCACCTACCTACCTATCTACCTACCCACCCACCTACCTACCTACCCACTTACCAATCTACCTACCAACCTACCTTCCAACCAACCTGCCTACCTACATACCTACATACCAACATACCAACATACATACCAACATACACACACAGATACCTACATACATACATACATACACACACACACACACACACACACACACACACACACACACACACACACACACACACACACACACACACACACACACACACATACATACATACATACATACATACATACATACATACATACATACATACATACATACATACATACATACATACATACATACACATTTAAGTTTCTGTCTGAAGAAACTATCTTGGAAATGTAACAGTAAGTCAATATCATTATAGTCCCCCAATGGAAAGCTAAGCTTGTCATTTCATCTAAGGTGAAATCAATAGACTTGTCAGTTTCCAGGTACAGAAATCTAGCAGAAACCTACATTACCCAGTATCCACTAGGTTTCCGCAACAGAACCAAGACATTTTTGCTATGAATGTTTCAGCGAACTGAAAGTAAATTGAAACTTATTATGGCAGTTTCAGTTGTAGAAACATGACGGAAACCTAGATTTGTTAGTTTCAGTTTGGTAAACTATACGGAAACTTTCATTGACTGTTTCCGGATACTGAAGCCTAGCGGAAACCTACATTACCCAGTATCCATTAGGTTTCCGCAAGGACGGAAACTAAGTTATTTTTGCTGTGGTAGTATTTGAGAGTACCAGACAGCACAGAATGTAGCCCTCTCTTCAATAATTTGAACATTGCTTCTACATCACAAGCGTTCGGTATGTCTTGGTCCTGGATACGGGGGTGGCAAGAAACAGCTTGAATACGTGATTTTGTTTAAATTGTGTTCGTATCTACAGACTACAATAGTATCTACCTAAATATCAATTTATTACCCTTTCGGGTGGTATTTGAAAGAACGGACATCATTTTTGCCACTGATACGTCAAATTTGGAAATGCCCTTCACATGTCTACAATAACTTGTCATGCGTCAGACATGTGTTACGAAAGAGTATAACCTCCTAACAGCATGCTGTCCTAATATACGGTTCGCATTGTAGACCAAGTGGTTATGTTGAAACAATAACGCGAATACTAAAGACACCTTTGCCTTAAGCTGTTGGAGACCTCAACGCTTTCATCTGGTTCAGTGCATGTTGAATCTGTGGGACGTCAATGGACCTCACTCTGTACGCGTGATACGGGCGTGTCATCGGGTCGCGATGGTCAACAGCTCATCTTTCAACACTGCGTGTCCCCCAAGTGAACCAGTTACATACGCCGTGCCATGTGGCAGAGTTGTAGGTTCAACATGTGCAGAAATAGCACATGGTCTGGTTGACATAGGGGAAAATAACGACAGCAAGAGATAGTGGTTTTGTTTGTACAACATATTTCTGGCACCAACACTACAGCACTGGAGATTTTTACTGTTTCACATGATTTGACTTTTGTTCTGATACAGATGTCTGTCTGAGTGGCCTTAGTCGCATTTATATCTCATGTTGACTTCCGCGAAGAATCACTGGATTCAGTTCACTTGTGAAAAACGTGCCTTCAGAGAGGAAGAGGGTATAGTGATGTCATTTGTGATGTCAGAGATTCTTTGTTAACAGTGATGAAGAAGTAGCTGGGCAGGCAATTACAACCTCCACACACAATGAATATGCGTAAATGAGTTTACAAGCACATTATACAACTGTCAACGGGAATGCCCGAATGCCTGGACCGCCACCGTGTGATGTACAGCGGACAATTGATAACCTTTTCGGCATGATGTTTTTGTAAACATACGAACCCTTCGATGTAAACAGTTTGATTAACTTCCACGGAAACCTGTATACGCTATGATACCACATTAACCCGTGAAGATCCGGGTTAGAATTGTCGTAAGAGGCAACTAACGAGATCGGGTGGTCAGGCTTGCTGACTTGGTTGACACATGTCATCGTATTCCAATTGCTTAGATCGATGCTCATGGTGTTAATCACTGGATTGTCTGGTCCAGACTCTATCATTGGCAGACCGCCGCCATATACTGCTGAGCGCGGCGTTAAACAACAACTATATATAATACCGCGGTGAGGTATACGTCCTTAAATCATACAGGGACATCCGAATCAAATGTGACACACAGATTATTTGTAAGGATTACACACAATGAACAATTATGTTTCAGTATTAATGTATACTTTATTCAACCTTTAGTTCATGGTGAGGGAACTTAATTCACATCGGTTTGTGTAATCTATTGGCATTAAAGCCCAACATTCTTTATCCTCCTACTAAAATTCATCATCGTCAAACAACACGATGAAGTCAACAATATTGTGTAGAAAACAGCACGGTGTAGTCAACAACACCCAAAGCATCAATGAACCCCGACACACGGTAATGGCTCCGAGATATTCGTTCTACACATGCAGTGTTTCTGCGCTGACAACACGAGCTCGACTGTCCGTCATGAACAAAAGAAATAGACTTTCGTCCGACCAGCGGACCTTTCTTCATGACCACAAATTCCAATGACGTCGAGCTTGACACCAAACTAGCTGTGCTGTGGGGATAACAACGGATGTCTGAAAGGTCGCCTGGCTCCATACACGCTCCAATTCGGTCCGTTCTGTTGTACCAGCCACGATGTGGAACCCACTGTATTTTTAACACGCCACTTGAAATAAACGAATGACGTCTTGTGATACTGAGAAGGGGTTAAATCCACCCTGGGAGTTGTCACCAACCAGCACCTTTTGCAATACCACTCAATGGCATGCCACATACCAATAACTTGCCATCTTTTAGCAGTTGTCATTTGAGGAGGCTAATCAACAACGAAGTCAATGGATTTCCTGAGTGAGTGAGTGAGTTTAGTTTAGTTTTACGCTGCACTCAGCAATATTCCAGCTATATGGCGGCAGTCTGTAAATAATCTAGTCTGGACCAGACAATCCAGTAATCAACAGCATGAGCATCGATCTGCGCAATTGGGAACCTATGACATGTGTCAACCAAGTCAGCGAGCCTGACCACCGATCCCGTTAGTGGCCTCTAACGACAAGCATAGTCGCGGATTTTCCTGAGTTAAATAGCTATGAGAACAGTTTACTGCAATGTATTGCATGTGATGCACGCCTTTGATCGTAGCACGTGCATATCTAAAATGTATGTATTCACAAACATGCTTGGACATTGTCATCCCTGATTTACGTGTGTATTCATGTTTGTGTGAAATACCGCTTCAACGTACTTGAAACATAACAATGATGTAACTTGGTATTGTGTCTATTCATATTACTAGCTGTTTTGTTTCAAATCTCACTCTAACATCCGCCATTGTGGTTGTTGTTGCAGTCTGCAAATAATCGAATCTGGACAAGACAATTCAGTGATCAAAGCATGAGCATCGATCTACGCAATTAGGATATGACTACATGTGTCAATCAAGTCAGCGAGCCTGACCACCCGATACTGCAATTCGCCTCTTACGACAAGCATTGCTTGCTGGAGACAAATTCTATAAACCGGATCTTCACAGTGTGTATGTTCTCGTAAACTTAGCCGGAAAGTAGCAATCAGTTGTAAGTACATTTCTCTCAAATCTACCTACATGATTCGGTTAAAACAAATACCTAATAGTACAGCTTAAAGAAGTTTGATGCAACAATCGAACGAAAGTGCCATTTTCTCAGAAATCGTATTTCACTATATCGAGTTATTTCAGTCGGAGCTTTTAATAAATATATACTACAAACAAAACGTATGGGAACACCCTAAAATTTGATAGTCATATATATAAACTTAAACGTACCGAGGTCATTTATACTCTAAGGTAAATGCAACTTTTTGTGTGCTTAAAACGACATGTGGAACATGCACTGAAGCAACTGATTCAATATTAGTTGAGTTTGAGTGAAATGAAACATTGTCAAAAACATCGAAAAGCAAGGGTGCTGAAACACACCAACGCCATGTTTGATTCAAACGCCCAAACACAACAGCCTAGTGCATGTGGAATACAGACTTACCATGCAGCTTGTGACAACTGGGCATTGGCAGTTGTGAATCCGTTCCGAGGGGCTACTTTTTGTTTGTAGTATATTTCATAAAATTTGAAAATTGTGTAATGATTGCTTGCTACAGTTAGAAAACTTTGCTTATGGAACAGCTTGATCAATAACCCTTGAGGCCTCACGCGTCCTGCGGCACAAAATGAAATGAAAACAAATTGCAAACATCGTAATTACATCCCAAGAAGTTATAAATATAATACCGCATAAGCCATTTGTAGAAAAATTAATTGCGTTAGTTTAAAAGCAATTTATAATTTCAATGGTAAAAAGGTGAAAATATATAGACAAAGAGTTCCCCAACACCGTGGCGGCAGCAGTCTTTATTGTTGTGTTTGTTTACTTGAGTCCAGAAGATGGCGTCAAAGTCAGTACT